TTCGATCATAGAGTTTCATCATTTGAGCACGTCTGCTCAAATTTCACTTTTCCAGACCCGGCGGGGCCCATTCGGGGCACTTTTTGGGATTTCTATAAAAGGGGGATGAGATATTTTATTTTTTCATCTTCCCCACTCTCTTGCACGACCTGAAGCTTCCATGGCAGCCCAAGGGAGGCTGCCACCTTCTCTCTCCTCATTTGAACTTCATTTCTTTGTCATAACATCGTAGGGCCTTTGCGTTTTGTGTTCGTGTTGATTACGCGCTTCTTTCACCCTTATTAGAACTTGTTTTTGGCCAAATTTTAAGTTCAGGTCTGAAGTCAAGTTGTGATTTTGATGGGGCTTCTTGTGGGTTCATGTAGATCGTGTTGTCCTCGACAAAACCCTTCGGTATCGTAGGATTCAAATCACTTTTTTTTCAGTGGGCTTTTGAGATTTTCATCTCAAATTGAGGTAAATATTATTGTTGTATTGATTGTTTTATAAGCATATACAACTTGTGAGCATGCCTTGTTCAAGTTTTTAGAATTTAATTTATTTATTTTCTTTGTTTAGGATTTAATTCTAATGATGATATATAGTTTAGAACTAAATTGTGGCATGCTAGGAAATTAGGCCTTGGTGAGTTGTGTAACATATATTAAATTTGGAGCATTTGAGTAAGAACTGCAAAACTTATTTAATATTTATCTTTTGTGAAAGATTAATTCACATAGTTGTATCAAGTATGAAACCAACTTGTAATGTGATATTAAAGTAGGCCTTGGTGAGTTCTTTAACATATATTAAATTGAGGACGTTTGGATATGTTTGAAAATCTAGGGAAAAATTAATTAATGAGCTTAATTAGCTTTATTTTAAGTGTGTTGGTCACTTAAATTGATATTGGAGGTAATAGGTTGATAATCCCTTGAAATATAGTCTGTTTAATCACCTTATGAGCATGTTACTAATTTGATATAGAATTAGTACTTGAGACCTCTTGAAATGGTAATTGGACTTAGCATTATATAGAATATCATTGACTTGCATAGCTTGTTTAGATATATCTTGTGTAGGTGTATAGCTTGTTAGAATATTACAATTGTTTACCTTAGAAGCTAGTTACTAAATTAGGACTTATTTAGTACTTGTGGCTTAGTGTGGTAATGTGGTTCAATTGTTGTAAAATATTTTTGTTTTGGTGTATAAATTGCATATTGGAGGCTTGACATGTCATATGCCATCTAGACTTGAATTATAGGACATGGTTTGTGTGGATTCAACCTTCTTTGTGCATGGAAGATGGTTTTATGCATTAGTGGATTTGGTATAAGTTTGGTCTAACTTATTGATTTTTGTATAAGTTTTGGACTTATTGATTTTGGAAAGCATGTAAGGACATATTTCACGTGATGGCTAGGGTTTGGCTATAGTACGGAGACAAGAGTCTTCTAAGTCATAAGTGCGCACTAGGTAATACCTTGTAGGTCGTAATTGTCTGGACTAACTTATGCATGTGCGCACTTGGTAGTGTCTTATGGGTCGTAATTACCCAGAAACACTTGCTTGGTCTAGTAGCCACATGTCATAGTCTTTCTACTTTGATTTCGCATTCAATTTCAAGTTATTAATCATGGATTACTTGTAACTTGAGAATTGGTGCTTGCCTATGTATTTTGATCTTATTTAGTATACTTGAAACTATATACTTGAACTTGTATCCTTGTTGGTGTATCTAAACTCTATCTAGTGTATTTACGCTTAGTATGCTTGTCTTGTGTGTACGGATTTCATTTTTGTATACTTGTGCCATGTATACTTGTCTTGTGCGTATGTGTTTAGCTTAGTATACTTCTGTTTGTATACTTGATTTATGAGTACTCTGTACATATATCTTATACTTGTGTATGTATGCTAGATATTGCTTATCCCGTTTAACATGATTTAGTATACTTGTGTATGTATGCTAGATATTGCTTATCCCGTTTAACATGATTTAGTATACTTGTGAGCATGTGTACTTGAATGTCGTGTATTATGTTTTAATACGATTTGGTGCACTTGAGCATGTATACTTGTATGCCGTAGTTCATTTCAATTGCTGGGGTAGCTTAGGATGATCCCTGAGTCTCACTTTGACATAGACGTTAGGTAGCATAAGCCCCTCTAACATGTTTCACCTTAAGGTGATAGATTTGTAAAATGCTAGGTCGATGCATACTCATCTCCTACGAGTAGCTTTATGTTAATCACCCACGTAGTGGGGACATTTTTCAGGTACCGAGATCAAGATTCGGGATTCACATCTTGCTTAGATGATTTGTAGACTTGAAGTTCTCATTTCTTGTAAATGTTAGCTTGAAATGCCATTTATAGCTTTATATGTTAAAATGTATAAATTTGATTCTATTTTTGTAATGTGTACATAAGTACACTCTTTACAATGTATTTGACATGTATGAGATGAGGCCGGAAGCCAATGACATGTATCTTGCTTTCTTTGCACTTTCATTTTCAAGGCTTAATATGAAAATGTTGAAAAATGCTTAGACATTGTGTCATAACTTTTGCATCGGGTGCGGGAATTTCATTTTTATTCTTTCGTAAGGTCTCATTAATCATGTATGAAGTGTGGCCAAGGGTCAAATGGTAATTTGAAATCATTTGTTAATTTTGGTTTTCAAATTTCCCAATTCTTGTGCATTTTCGCCTTTTTGGCCGTTAGGGGGTCGGATTTTGCATCAGGTCTTCTCGGGAGCCGTGGAGCATTCCCGCGCGCTTAGCTTAAAAACACTAAATATACTTGTGTGCGCATTCGTTTCAACCTAGAAATGCATTTCGGGCCAAATGCATACTTGGTGCAAAGTTGCATTTTTTGAGTTTTTGACCCCTTACTGAGCTAGGGGCATTTTACAATGAGTTTTTTTTGAATTCTCTTACCAGTCATGTAGAAAACTCATTTTGAGGGGGGTTTCTTCTTTGTGTTTTTCTAGAAAAATTCATCTACTAGCCCGTTTTTACTCTCTGTTCTGGCTGTTTCTGGAAAAAAAATGCTTGTAGTAACTTTTTGGGTTCCTCTTGACCTACTTTGTTCTATGGGCATTTTAGGGATTTTACAGCGTGTTTTTTTTTTTTTTTTTTTTTTTTTTTTTTTTTTTTTTTTTTGTTTCTTCCACATAACCGGGTTGGAAACATGAATTTAAGGGGGGTTTCTTCTTCGTGTTTTTGCAGAAAAATTCGTATAAGGGTTCGTTTCTAGCCTCAGTTCTGGAAAAAAAATTGAAAAGTTGCTTTCTGTCAAAACACTATTCCTGCCCAGATTTTTAAACCCGAAAAGTTGATATTTTTTGAAACTTTGAGGCTTCATATCTTCTTTGTCCTGACTCCAAATCAAGTGATTTTTGAGTCTAAGTTTATTAGTTTTTTCTGATCTATACCAATTCTATCTGAAAAGACTATTTTCCCCCTTGTAAAATACCCTTGTCGCACTGATTTTAATCCCAAAAGTTGATTTTTTTGAAACTTTGACATTTCATATCTTCTTCGTCCGGACTCCAAATCAAGTGATTCTCAGTTGTATCCTGTTATGTCTAAAAAGACCATTTTACCCCTTACAAAGTATCCTTGCTGCATTGATTTCAAACCCAAAAATGTGATTTTTATGAAACTTTGGAGTTTCATATTTTCTTCATCCGGACTCCAAATGAAGTGATTCTTGGGTCTAATTTGATTAATTTTTTGCTGTCTTTCTAGTGGTGTGCTTAGTAGCACCCGATTTTATATTTTTAAAAATGACCATTTTGCCCTTGGAGGTCTGTTCGATTTTTTTTTTGATCATTCGTTTCCGCATCAGTTCTCATTGAGTTGCACGACCTCATGGAAGGTCACTTTGACTTCTTAGAGTCTTGTTTTCTATTTTCGCTTTCGCATTCGGATCCGTTATCAGGTCAATCTTCGGTTCATCACAGGACGCACTGGCTTGAAAAAGCAGGGCCGCCACATATTATTTATTTATTATTATTATTATTTATATAAACTCTGGGATGACACGTATATTGTGTATTGACAAAGGACATGATGGTAGTGTCCTTAGTTGACCCCGGGTTTGGGTAAGGATCCGGTTAGCGATTCGGACCCCCGGGTTCGGGTCGTTATATTAACTCTTAAAAGGAAGACTCACAAGCTTTATTACATGCAAATTTGATTCCTTTTCGGGTCAATCTGGTCGTAGGAGCTGCCAAACAGGAAAAATCTTTCCCAAATTTGCAATAATAACCCGCTAGACCAAGAAAACTCCGGATCTCAAAAACATTCTTAGGTTGCTCCCAATTTAAAACTGCTTCAATCGTCGATAGATTAACTGACACTCCACCTTCTGAGACAACATGTCCCAAAAACTTCACCTCTTGTAACCAAAACTCACACTTTTCATATTTGGTGTACAAATGGTGCTCCCATAGAATCTGCAACACCATACTTAAACAGATCTCGTGCTTCTTTCGAGTCTGTGAATGCATAAGAATGTTGTCTACAAAAACTACCACAAACTGATCCAGATAATCGTGAAAGACATGGTTCATTAGATCCATGAATGGCGCTGGTGTATTAGTCAGACCAAAGGGTATAACAAGGGACTCATAATGTCCATATCGCGTATGAAATGCTATCTTTGGGATATCCTCATCCCTAACTCGCAACTGGTAATAGCTTGAACTCAAGTTGATTTTTAAAAAACAACTGGCTCCCCTTAACTGGTCAAACAAATCATCTATCCTTGGTAAAGGATACTTATTCTTGATGGTGGCATGATTCAACTTCCAGTAATCAATGCATAACCTCAAAGAACCATCTTTCTTTTTAGCAAACAATACATATGCGCCCTATAGTGACACACTCGGTTGGATAAGACCTTTCATCCTCAATTTATCAAGTTGCTTCTTCAATTCTTCTAATTCAATCAGTGCCATAGAAATTGGCGTGGTACTAGGCATCAAATCAATAGCAAACTCCACTTCTCAGTGTGGAGGCAACTCTGTCAAGTCCTCAGGAAATACATCCAAAAAATCGCGAACAACCACTGAATAATCAACCCCACAAAACTGAACATCATCATCGGCGAAAAGGCTAGCCAAGAAGAACCCTTGTCGATCCTGACCTCTAACACCATAGAACAAAGGAGTGAGAGAATCACACCGATCTCCCATAAAACAAAAACAATCCCCATTCGGGGTATACACTGATACTGTATCCCTAAAACAATTAATAACAGCTCTGAAGGATGACAACCAGTCCATCCCAAGTATGACGTCAAACCCTGTCATCTCAAGGAGGATGAGATCAAACTTAAGTACCCACCCGACAAAGGTAATGGAACAACCCCGACAAACTCTACCAAGAGTGACTGAACCCCCAATAGGTGTGTCAACACAGATCGGTCTGTCTAACTGACCGACCTCCAAACCTAATGCCCGTGCAAATGATGAAGCGATGAAAAAATAAGAAGCACCATAATCAAACAATAATCGAGCCCAATAATTGAACACAAAAAACATACCCCTGACAACTGAATGACTAGATGATGGCTCGGCTTGAGTGACTACATACACATGACCCTGAGTCCTTTGCCCCTGAGAACTACCTGTCTAAAAACCAAAATGCTTAGTGGGTGCACTAGAAAAGGCCCTGCTGCCTGGTCAAGAACTCTGAGTTGTCATAGCTGGATGAGGTGGTGGTGGCTGTCGGAACCCTGACTGGACTATGGCAGACTGCGTCTGTCTCTGTTGTGGACCTCCACCCTTACCTGAGCCCCTGCTCTGCTATGGACAATTTGTCACCCGGTGGCCCTACTGGGCACACCCAAAACATCCTCCTGTCGCCATCTGAATCTGTGGACACTGTGACTTGTAATGCCCGGGCTGTCTGCACTTGTAACACACTACATCTGCCCTAGAAGTCCCCATAGACACTGAAGCTGTAGGTACGGATCTGGCTGATTGCTATCCCCTAAACCCTGACTATTCATTCTTCTGCTTCTTGTGTGATTGACCTTTGGAGATATCACACATGCTCCTGCTGTGCTTATAGGACTCCCTGATAGCCTTGCTATCCTTGCTTTCAGCCTCAACCACTAAGGCTTTTTGCACTGCTTTTGTATACTCTGTCGGTTCTGAGGCAGCCACAATTGGCCTAATGGTAAGATCAAGGCGATTAACAAATTTCTCTATCTTTCTTTCCTCATCTCTAGCAATCCCTGGTGTAAACCTCAAAAGTGACGTAAACTTATTCTCATACTCTGTAACAGTCATATTTCCTTGTTTCAAACCATCGAACTTTTTCTTAAATTCTCTCCGCTTAGGTGCTGAAAAGTACTTCTCATAATACAGCTTCTTAAAAGCATTTTATGTCACAGTGTCCAAATTGTGGGTGTGAGAAACGGTCTTCCACCAAATCTCAGCATCCCCAATAAAATTATAAGTCGCTAGTGTAATCTTCAACTTGTCCGATGCCAAATTCATAGCGTTAAGATGCTTCTCCACCCTATCCATGAAACTATCCGCAACAAGCGGATCTGGGCCGCCCTAAAAAAGAGTCGGCATTAACTTTACAAACTTTGCATCATTATAAAGTGTCTCATCTCACTCATTTTTATCTGGGGGTGGTGCTGGTGGTGGAACAACCTGTGATGATGATGCCACTGTCATCCGAAATACATCATGAAAGACTGCCTATACTGCAAACTTAAGATGCTCCTCACTTATCTGAAGAGGCGGATCAACGATTCCCCTCGCTTGTCCCCCTCTCAGTAGGACCAAATCACGCAAGAAGACATCTTCTTCAACTTATTCCTGATCCCTTTCTACGGGATTTGAACTAGAACTTTCCCCGGGATCCCTTCGTGGTGGCATGACACTATAAGACGAGATAATGGACAAAAAATAATGACATTGACACACACACGAGAACGGAGTCCTCACACAAATGACTCGACAGGAAATGACAACACTTAAACACTTTCTATACTCCCGGAAAAACCCAACTAATGGTAAACATGATCATGATAATAATATCCTACAACATTAAACATTTAACATGTATCACATAAGTAGTTAAGCAATTAGGCATGTCTTTCAAATAATTTAACACTTAAGCATAGAAGCACATAATCAATTAAACATATAATTCAACTTGCCCATGCAATCTTAGGTAGGCCTCTACCCATCAGCCTAATGGCATTCAAACTCTCATTCTGATACCAAATTTGTAACGACCCGAACCCGTAGGTCCGAACCGTTAGCCAGGTCCTTACCCGAACCCGAGATCAACTAAGGGTACAACTATCATTTCTTATGTCAACATGAAGCATGAACCTCATCTATGACCTTACAACTCTCCTAAACCATCAACATCGTAGAAGGAACTCAAGGTAGGGTGGAAGAAGAGAATCGGTCGATTGACAGCCTTATATCAGCCGGCTGATGCTCAAGGTTTGGTCGGCTAACCTAAATGGTCGGCCGGCCAAAACGATGCACAAATGTGCATGCTTTCGGAACTTTCAAAGAATAGCCTCTCGGCTGACTGGAAGTTTAAGTTTGGCTGGCCGAAAGAGAAGGTTCGGTCGGCTGACAAAGTTCGTTGGTCGGTCGAAATGAAACTTCCAAAGACTTAACTCTCTGGAATGCGCAAAACTACATTGTCGGTGGACTGAGGCTCCTTGTCAGCCGGCCGACAGGCCCTGAAGTGTTACTAGTTGCAGCTAAAAATACGAGGAAGCTGGACTCATTAAGAGCTGAACCTAATAGACAACCAATCTTGAATTCACGGCAACATAAATAGCATTCCATAGATATATGCATTAATCAACTTCCCAAATTTATACATCATTTTCCCATTCAAGGTATAACATAAACATAGTTCCAAATACATCAAAATATTGTCGAAATTATAGATATAAAACGTGGCTTTACTTTACATAAAACAATTACATTTCCAAAGTGTTACTTTACAAAACAAGAATGGGATCCCATAAACAAAAGATTGTATAATAACTTCTAGTCCATCAAGCTTGTGGTGGATTTCCTTTTGCCACTTCCTTTCCATGCCCTGAAAATGTTAAATTAAGGGGTGAGCATAAAGCTCAGTAGAAGTCGCCTAAGGCGTTAGTTTTGGACTCCCTTAAGCCACATAACACAAAAAGGAATACGAGATAAAAGGGGTCATGCAATGGGAGTTCACTCAACATTTACAACTTATAGGCAACAAACTCAGCACATAACATAATTCTACTAATGCCGTGCATAATATGAAATGTAACGCACCCCATTCCAACTCGGTCTGAACCGGCCTAACCCACAACTTTTGAAAACCTACTAACTGACTTTATCGAGGCGAGATTGATAACTATCCCTGGTTCCAATTCTGGCAAGGCCTGGCAACCGTTAAAGGGCCTAGTACCAACCTTTTCACGCTTTTTACCGGGCTGCGCTCCCTCTAGGTCAAGCTAGCCCCAGACTCGCGAAATCCGGTTCATTTTTAAAAAAAATATATGCATTTCAAACAACAACCTTTCCTTTAAAATTCCTTTATAACCTCTTTCTAAAATTTCCCTTTCTATTGCCATGTGATGCATTGCATGGTAACATCATTGAGATCAACATGATAATTTTTAGACAATAAGCATGATCAAGCATTCCATATTCACATTCAATAACAATTTTAACATGCTCCTGATAGAATTACTTACACCATAACAATTATTCAATTCATAAGGTTTCCATACATAATTCTTCCCATGCTTCTAATACAATATAGAAAGAAATCATGTCATCAACATTTAACATATCTTTTACATTTTTAAGACAACATTTCCATGTCATAAATCAAAATTTCCAAGCATAGAGAAAAGAAACTCAAATTTTGCTCAATTAAAGTCAAAACTTAGACTTTAGGGAGACCTTTACCTCAATTAGAGAGCAACTCCTTAAGAAGCCCCAATTTTAACCTCAAACCCTAGAATTTTGAAATCCCTATGGTGGCCAAACGGAGATCGGCTCCGATCAAAACGAAGATCTTGAAACGCTCACCAACTTTTCCTTAAGTGGTAACACCAAAATCTCAAAGGCTTGAGGGAAATCAAGCTTAGAAAGTTGTAGAAAAGAAAAAAAAAAAAAAGGGAAGGAGTAGAGAGAGAGAGAACTTAGCCGGGAGAGAGAGAAAAATGAGGCCATATAATGGCCTTAAGGCAATTATAATGGCTAAAGCATAATTGGTGGGGCCCACCATAAAAATATCCCACTTTTGCAACATTAGTATAAATATTAAATGGAATTACTTTACCACCACACATTAATCACCTAGGCAAATAAATATGCACAATAAAAATGCATGGAATGCAATGGAACCGTGACACAACCCTCGTGTACAACAATCTCGATAGCGGTTCCACCTGGGACCCCCTGGTCTGAAAAATAAAAAAATGCCGAATTGGTAACCAATAGATTTTTGTGATTCCCGAACTCAAGGAAATGTCCCAAACCACTCTCTGACACATCCGGCACACCCTACGGTGTTCGGTTCGCAAAATGAGATAAGACAACAATACCCCCGAAAATTTAAAAATTCCAGAAATTGGAAAATGACAAAACTCAAGAACATTACAACATTGGAGTCATCTATAAATAGAAAGGATAGCCCAATTTGAAACGGTTCCAACAAGTTCTAAGAAATTCCAAGTTAAAGAGTGGAAATTAGGGTTTTCATCAAGAATTTTGGGGATTCTCTCTCTATTCTTTCTCTCTAGGGTTTCTACCAAGGAAGAAGAAGAAAAAAAAGAAGATGAACCTAAGCTTGGAGATGGATTATGAGACCACAAAGATGACATCTATCTTTTCCATGAGTGGCTAGTTCTTCACTTAGGTTTAGGATGAGCCCTAAGTTTGTGTAATTAAATATCTTGTTTTTCAATTTTAGGGATTATTAATTGTAATTAAGTGAATTCAAACTTGGTTTTACCAAGGTTTATATTGTTAATTCTTTCAATTGATTCTCTATTTTGATTACATGTTGTCCTATGTGTGATTAATTGAGGGTTGATCTCTACATTGTGTATTTTTTTGTAATTGTGCTTAGTGATGGCAATGCATGGTTTTTATTGGATACAATTGCTTTTAGTTTGATGGATTATGCTTAGTCTTGATGGGTTGTTCTACACTTTAGTGTAATTGTAGTTAGATAAACAATTCATGCTTGAATTTGATAGTTCATACTTATTCATTGCAATTTGTATTATTTTCTTGAACATTGATGTGTGCTTGGAGCTACATTCCTATTGTAATTTGTTTTCCCCATTAACTGAAAGCATTTGGTATAATTGCATGAGCTTAGTGGTGTAATGCATGCCCAAAGCCTCTCTTCTTATTACCTTAAACCAAGTTTACCTTAGCTTTATTTCATTTACATGATTTACATAGTAAAGTCATCATTAGTATAATCAAATCAATCACAATCTTTTTAATCTCACGCTCATTGATGTTAAGTTAAATTTCAAGCCAATAATCCCAGTAAATGATCCCTTCTCACTATACTAACGTATAGTTGTTTAGTGGTTTTATAAATGTAACGACCCGAAAATTATACCAAAATAATAATAATAATAAAGTATATAAAAAATAATTTCTGTATGACCTCCGTAGAAAAAGTTCCTCTACAACCTGTTGAAATACATAAAAATGCAATGGCCTTACTAGGCCTTAAAACTAACATATCCTGTCCCAACACATAATGTAAATAATATAGCAATTCCCAAAATAACTACATACATATAAAAGAGTCCCGTTCCTCTAATTCCTTCAAAACATGGAATCACCAGTTCACTACTTAGTCCCATAATCCTTTACAAGAAACATACTTTAACTACATCAAGTTACAGTCCATGAAATACAGTTAAAATTTAAAAGTCCATAACTTACAACATTATACTAATTAAACTAAAGTTTCACAAAATAGTTAAGATTACATTTACAAAATATTAAAGTTCTAGTAAAAAAGATAACAAAATAAGTATATCTCCAAATCCTGTCTAAACTTATGGTGGATCGTCGTCCGCCACCTCTTTTCCATGACCTGAAAATGTTAAAAATAAAGGGTGAACATAAAGCTCAGTAGGAGGTGCCTCAGACACACCTCTTGTGACCCTGTGAATCCAAATAAGGAATAGGAATAAAGAAATTGGGATCATTCCACTTCCGGAAAAACATAACCATAATAGCAACATTAATAATCCAAGTCATGAATGAAATATGCCGTGTTA